TCTTTCATATTCACTGTAAATGGAGCATGTCCATGATCAGTTGTATGTAATGGCAAATTAAAGTTCTTTATACTCAATTTGCCTTGGTTTACAGTTGACTGAGCTATTCCATTTTAATGTGAACTTTGTATATGGTGTCATTTGTTTTCCCTTTTGTTTGTAGCACTGTTGACATATTGTTACTTAATTGACATTGTGAAATAGCTTTTTTTGAAATCAACTTTCATTAATATTTGGTGGGACTGTGCTAATTTACATGAGCTGGCAAGGTGTCCTCTGCAGTCAGTCCCTCTGCTTCCTCCAGCACTTAATGCTCCTAAATTCTGTTGCACTGGAGGAATATGAAATGGATCCATAGCTGCAAAGCCTAGAGGAGGTAATAAGATCACTAGCTTCATTATTTCATTCATTGCATCTGACTTGCTTCTACTGGCAACCTCAAGCTGCTGTTCCTCTTCAGCACCATAAAATACTTTGGTTTATCTTTTAGTAGACTTTGAGATGTGAAGGTCAATATTTCTGCAAGTTGATAAATTTGAAGTTGTTTACTCAGGCTGTGGATCTATTCTGCTACTTGCTTGACTTCATTTAGGCTTCTTATTTCTTTAGGGTTGCTTACCTGCCATATTCTTCAAATTATGCTCCATGGTGGTTCTTAAAACAAACTCATCAGAGAGTTTATTCCTGTGCAATTCTCTTGAAAAATGTTGCAGTCTTTGGAAAATCTTTGTACTGACTCTATATTTCTGCCATACATCATCTGCCATTTGCAGGAAACCTTGATTTTTTTACTCAGTTCTCATAAGAATATAAGCCATTTCATAATTAAAAAAAAAAAAAAAGTTTGAGTCTTATTTTTGTGATGTACCTATATGGACTTGTTGACTGACCTAGAGATGTGGTACATGTATGTATCTGTGTGCATGTATATGTTTGTGCATATGTGTCTAAATGTGTCCTTACATCAGGGAGTGGAGGAAGGTTATTGGTGTTACTGGAGTCATTTGGAGGTTTTATCTCTGAAATTGAGCTTGTTGCCAAGGGAGCCTTTTCCTTGTGTGTGTGCCTGAAGTTGGTGAATCCCAAAGGCATGGATGTGCTGCCCTTAGGTAGGCTGCAGCACATGTCCTGTATATCCTGTGCCTCCCCAGACTGCTGAATTGATCATGTATTTCATGCACAGCATGTAAGTGCACATTTCCATATGGTAAATCCATGCTCCCCACTGTATCTGATGGTAAAAACATCTGGAATCAGATGGGTACCACTGTAGCAGCTCATGCAATCTATTGCTGCCTCCTTTTCTAGGTGTTTTGTAGAAGTAGGCTGGGAGACTTGTGGAGATGAATTCTGGGAGATGGAACCCGCTTGTAACTACCTCCTTCCCAAAAGTGCCATGTGGTCCTTCCTTCCTGTCACCTCACATGCCTTTAAGGTGTTAATGATCTGTGCTTGGGACAGGTGACAGGAGGGGCAATAACAGGAGGTCTCTGGGCAAGGGGGTCAAATGTGGGCTATTTCCCTGAGTTTGCTTTTGGATTGTGTATACAAAGAGGGTTTGCTGTAACCTGAGGCCTGTTGGTTAGAAATCCTTGTTTTTAATAGGAGTCCTTCTCTCTATGCATATTTATGCAAAATAATTCAATTTCTGGCAAGGCTTGCATGTTGGACCATTTGCTACACTGCTGCCTGTGGTTTGATTCCTTTTTTGCTTGTATTCAGTCTTTTTTCCTGGTATTTGCATTACTGCTGTTTTGTCTTAGTTTAGTTGATACTTGGTCTATCTTTTGGGTCTGATGTGTGCCATTTTTATTTATTCATCTAGTGTTTTCAGTCTTTATAGCTCTTTTCTGTTACATCAAAAGTCAACAGTTTGAGTAAGTTCCAACTGTTGTAGCATATGTAGTCTGGCTTCATCATCTCCTGTTGCCTTAAACTGTAATCTCTAACTAAATTAGGCAGCCAGCATGCCAAATGTGCACAGGGGCTGAGTGTGTGGGTCTGTGGGTGTTATTTTGGGGCACTGATTTTTAGGGCTTAGTGAATGCAGTTTGTGTGTGGGCTCTGTGCTGATGCTGGCAGGTCAGGTGCTCGTATGTGACTTGTTTCTGCAGACCCTCAGTCATTGGGACTCTTGGGGTAAACACAGCATTGTGCAGCTCTATGACATTGTCCAGCTCTCGCCTGCTCTCCCTCTGAGAACCTTTGCTCTGATTTTTCTGCTTTTCTTACCTACTGCTGCCACAGAAGGCTGCACTGCCTCAAGTCTGTTCCCCAAGTCTGGAGATGAGCCACTGGTCTTTATTTTTCTGTAAATTGCATGATGGTTCTGGGTTGAAAGTGCAAGTGTCACACTGGTAGGAGAGAGTGGGCCTGCAGTGCCCAAGGACACAGCATGTCCCACACAATTCTTTTTGTACGACAGACAAAAAATAGAAGTGACAGGAGCTGCACTGATGCTGCAGTTTTGAGATAGTGCTGCAAAATTCATCTAAATAATTGTATAAAAGAAACAAAAGCAAAATTTAAAGGTATCCCTTCATATTTCTTCCCTTGGCTCCCCATTTTTTTAAGTCCAGATGGGTTCATTGGCAGTATTTATAGCACAGTGCATGAGAAGCTGCAGTGGTATGGCCCAAGAAATTCCCTCCCACATTCAGTCTTACTCCTGTTTGTAGCAACAAACAGGAGTAAGACTGAACATGGGAGGGAATTTATTGGGCCAGCCTTACTTCCACGGAGTGTTTTCTGTGCAACTCAGCTGTGGGTAATGAACAGATGCTGGGAAACTAGTTATTAACACATAGGGAAAGCAGCTGAGATTTCCCAGGCTCAAAGAAGAATATAGTAGACTTCAGAAACTGTCAGGAGATGTGTGACAAAAGTGGGCAAGATAAAGATAATGAATTATTTCTGGGCAAGCCACATGGCACAGATAGGAATATTTTGCCTGGAAAGAGGTGACCAGATGGGCTTATGGAAAATGCAAACAGGGGCTTGGAGTTTTTTCCTTGTTTCATAAGAATTGGGTCACATCAAGTGGGTCTAACAATTGGCAAGTTTAGAACAGTTATTCTTTTATTTTGCAATTATTCTTTTATTTTTGCACAGTGCTGCAAGACAATGTAGATATAAAGCTGGTTTAGACATACGTATCTATGAGATAAGAAATTTACTGGGGTCTTAAGGGTCTGGGACAGTAACTCAAAAATATCAGTGTGTTCTTGCCCTTTTCTTATGCTTTTCCTACATATATAATAAGCCCTGTTGGACAGGCAAACCTGTTGTCTGGCCCTGCACAGCTGCTATTTTCTTTAGTGTAAAAAATAAGCTCTGGCAATTGCATGTTCTGATATCTACAGTAATAGAGCTATTCAAACAAATCTTATAAGTTGGTAATACACCAACAGCCTGGTCATTAAGCTCTGTCAATATTTGGTGTAGTAAAAACTTTTTACATTCAGCTACATTTGGTTTCTGTGCCCTGGGGAATTTTGCTGATTGATTGAAATGATTGATATTTCCAGGAACAAGTCTGAATTCATGATGAAATAACAGTGAGATAACATTCTAGGCAACTGGTTTTGTGCTGCTGCTTCTTCAACTTGTGTGAAGCTTAGAGGCCAAACCTTGTTTTCTAATTTCTTCTAAGTAGCAGATGGACCCCTTTTTAAGATTGCTTTTCCTAGTGGGGGGGGGGGTGTGTGTGTATGTGTTTTGGGAGGCAGAACCTGTGAAGACTGAGTTTCCTGGCAAATTGGGTGTTTAGAGATTGATGGTGGTTGTTGGATAACATGATAGTACTGCTAGTCTGCTCCTGGCTCAAGGGTGAGTGTAGTGATGTGTGTTAAAGATGGAGTGCTTTGGTTCAGTTCAGAGTTCTGTGTGTCTCTGGTACACACAAGTGGTTTGCTGCATCCTTTTCCTCACACACATGCCAAAGGTAGATTTGGAAGTTTTTACTTGGATAAACTGGAAACTGCAGAGGGATTTTTTTCAAGATCCCTCCTTACAGCTGCTAATTAAGAAAAAGGCAGATTTTTCTAAGAGATCAAATTGTTTGGATTTTTTTGTCTTTCCTATTGATTGCTTTTCAGCATGGTAGAAGCCAGTTGCGTGAGCATGGTGGGGTGTTTGTATGTGAGTGTGGTTTTTTAAATTTAATTTTATAGAAATTCATTTTAGGCCTGAACTATCCAGAATAAGCGAATCTATTTGCAAGGTGTGATCTGATACCATGATGAAGCTTTTCCTAATGAATGCTGTTGCATGTGTGGAAAAGTTTTCTTTCCCTCATAAAATAAATAAAGTATAATATTTGATTACATTCAATACACAGAGTATGTTGTGTTTATATACAGTGTTTATGTAGCTGAGGAGCTTGGAATATCAGAGATGATGAAAATATCTCCTGGCTTACTGTAGTTCTGAGGGCAGTTAAAAACAGATTGAGTGTCCTGTCCTGTGATCCACGTAGCTTACAAACTCCCTAAGTCCAACTTCTGTGTATTATTTTATTTACTGTGTATTCCTCATTATATTTTGTTTTCCTGAATTGTTTGCAGTGTTCCTGAGTGACTAACTGGGATATTCACTATGCAATATAAAATCAGTATTTATCCCAAAGTATTGCTGCTTATCAGTTTTCTGGGAATATATGTTGGTCATTCTGAATAGAGTAGCAATATTTGGGTTTTTTCAACACAATTGTAAAACTGAAAAAATCTGTAAGTAGTTTTGGGGAATTACAGTAATTTCAATTTGAACTTGTGTTTATACAATACAATACCTGAAAATGGTGCATATAGTTCTGCTCTCTAACAATATTTGTTCTGTCTCCACCTTGAGAGAAGGTGCATAGATACATGAATTTGTACACATGTATAATTGTGAAAAATAAATGCTCAAATATAAAATTATATTCTGAAAAGAATAAGTCATTTGCCTTTAATAAAATTATTTTTAAGAGTCTCTGATAAGTATTCTTTTTTTCTTGACAGTCTGTGGTGGACGACTGGATTGAATCATATAAGCAAGACAGGGACATAGCACTTCTGGATTTAATCAACTTCTTTATCCAGTGTTCAGGATGTCGAGGTACAGAACATGGAAAACAAGTTGTATAGAATAAATCTGACCTACAAACATGTGTTAATGCAAATGCTGGTAAAGATGGGGAAGACACTTGGATTGGTGCTCCTTGTGTGCATGATTTGTATAGAAATACTGTCTGCATTCCAGAATGACTTGATTTAAAGCTTGTTTGTCAAGGGCTACCCTTGCTCTTTCTCACTTTCCTGTCATCATGCTAAAGTGTACAAATCCTCACAGAGACATTCTACTCATCAGCAGCAGGAGACAAAAGATCTGGCACTCAGGTAGGCATAGCTTTATTTTCCATTTCTGTTTCTTTCTATTTTTTTTATTGCAAAAAATTAGTAGGTAACTATACCTTAACTTTGATATTTTTTCTTTCTTTTAGGAAAATGATTTTTTTTTAACTAAAGAAGAAGGAATCAGGCTTCAGTTCACAACAAGAAAGATTTCCTGTGTTATTTGTTCCTCTGTGATCCTTTATCACATCAGCAGCGAGTGCCCTGCCTTTTATACCCTACTTAAGCAGTCTCCATTACCAGGCATGCAGCAGTCAGCCATTCTAGCATTCTCTTGCCACACTGTGCCTTGTAATGAATTTTTCATGTGTTGTCTTTTTTCAGTTAACTCAGCCTTGAAAAGAGACAGAGCTCCACTCTCTCTGTAGTGCCCAGAACCAAGCTATTTACTGTTTTCTGATGCTTTCTAGAATTTACTTTGAATAGAGTTGAAAACAACCCACAATTTAGAAATTATTCTTCTTCATTTTGTATCTGCTGTGTGAATACACCTTTAAGCGTCAAATGGTCAGGGTAGAAGTCCCTTTTCTTCCTCCTTATGTATAAGGTGAAGTCTTGAGTAGTTAAAAGCATCAGAGAAAAGAAATAAGAACCATCAGCAGCTTCAGCAACCCTTTTTCATAGCTGAAGGAAATAAACTTATTTTGTGGATGACAGGAAAGACTGAAGCTCTGGGAGCTTCTGTGAAAGGGCTGAAGGTTAGGGCTTAGGTTACCAGCCTGTGTCAATTGTCTGCACTGTTCACGCAGAATCCCTAAAACCTTTTTCAGTTGAGTTTGGCAGCTTATGTGAAAGTAGTTGTATTCTATGTGCTTTTTTTTTTAACTCTCTCCTGAAGGTGTGTATGTGAAAAAAAGCGACCCCACAAGCTTATTTATAAGGATTTTGGAGGCATTAAACCAAAGACATCCTTGGCCTTATGTTTATATTGTTGATGCAAGCTTTTGATGAAGGCATATCATAAATATCTTCATTTCCCTGCTGCTCTCTAATTTATTCTCCCTTTTTCCTCATTAGAGAAAGCAGCACTCTGATAAGGCTCCTATTTTTTTAAACCCCTTGTTGGTGAGTGATGCAGGCTGAATGCCCACTGTCAGCCATATGCTGCTGGAGCAAGTGCTTCCCAGAAAAGCTTTCTGTTTCTGGCTGGGAGGCAGCAGCACTGCGAGTGCCTGATGTCACTGACTTACTTGGCTTTTCTTTGAATGGTGACTTTTCATTTTCTTACAGTGCTCTGCTCTGTATCCCAGGGCTGTCTCTGCTGAGCTTCTTTCAGTGCCTTCTGTTCCCAAACAGCAATGGTAGGAAAAAGGAAGCAAAAATTTCTTATCCCCAATCTATAATGTGTTTGGGAAATTTATTCCTGTGTTGGAATTTTTACAGAGGCTACAGTAGCAGCTGTAGAACACGGTTAAAATCCTAGCAATTCTTTGCAGTTTCCAGTAATATAATTGTTTTCTAGAATAAATAAGACCTTATCAGAAGAGAGTGGATTTTACTGGTAGTGCTTAGGGTAAAGTGCATACCAAGCTGTCCTTAATTGAAATGAGAAATAGGGGTTGTTACATATTTTGTGAGGAAGACAAAGATTCATTTTCATGGAAAGATCATATGTTATGACATCTTTATTTCCCTTTAGAGACTTTATTGACATTCTTGCTTATTTCTTATAACCTTATAACCACCCCTTGTGAATCTCAACAAGTGCTTTGTCTTCCTTAATTTTCTTCGAGTTTGCTCCACTAACATTGTCTTGGATTCTCCAGCCTACTTTCCCAAAGTTGGATCTAAATGCTGACTGATAATGTATATAAGTTTGTGATCACTAACTAAAAGGAGAAGGACAACTAACTTGGGACGAAGTTTCTCAGGAAATGGTGATCCTAGGCTTATAAATCTGCCATTTCAATCATGCTTAGAATCACTTGGTATCTAAATATATGTAAAGTACATTTAGCTTGATGTGTCTTTCAGAAGTTTGGAGCAGGTAGGTGGAAGAGTGTGTGTCCATTTACTGACTTTAATTAGACATTGGGGCACCAAACTTTCATTTAGCAACACTATTGACCCTTAAAGATACCTTTCTATTTAGAGAAACATTAATTTTTATGTATACATCCCAGTCTCTTGGGCAGCACAGATGCTTGAATGAACCTCTTGGCATCTTCCAGCTTTGCTTGTAGCTGTTGCTGAAATGAGAAGTGATGTCTTGTAAATATGAGTAAGCAGGCATATTATGTAAATTGTTAATACTAACAATTGTTAAATTAGTGGCTTCTGCAGGTGAATGTAAAATATCTGTGCAAAAATTAAAATTCAATAAATAGGCATTCAATAAATATTCAAGCATATCTGTCCTTTGTCAACTCTTCTGATCATCTATTTAATGTATGTCCATTAAAAATGTAAGAGATTAGGTTTTAGTGTGACTCCAGTAATCTTTCTTGTGTTTTTAGAGTGCTGTTTGGTGTAAATGAGAAATTTCTTGTATTGAGCTGTCAAAACATCTCAGTTCAATAAGCAGATTTGCATGGGAGTTGGTCACTTGTCATATCATCTTTCCTCTAGTTTGCCTGCTCAATCTGTACATATGTTGCCTCTGCTAATTTTGATTACAAAGAAGTTAAATGGTTATGTAGAGAATTTTTCTTTATCTTGCTTGTTTTTTTCATTTGAGAATACAAAAACGTCCCTGCCTTTCACAGCTTGTCTGTGTAGTCTTTTCCATCATGTTATGTTGAATTTTTGTGGCAGAAAAATGATTAACAAGGACTGATACATTCACCCATTCACTTTCTGTTTCTAACCCTTTTAAAATGTGTTGCTGCTTCTAGAGGGAGGATTTTGTATCAGATAGTACCTTAGGTGAAAAGGTAAGTGTTAAAATACTACTTCTTCTGTGGAAAAACAGCAAAAATGCTATTTGCAGTCCTTTAAAATAAAACAGGTATGTCTGTTGGTAGTAGGTGTTTATTTTCATGGGATTTACAATCTGTAAAGCAGGTGGTGTTTACCTTCTTATTTCTAAGTCAGGAGCAAAATTTCAGACTTTTCATTATTAGGGAACTTTTTGAAATTAGCTTGTAATGATAAAGGCCTTTTTTCAATTAAATGCCACTGGACTGGGGGTGGAGGTTGTATCCACACTACTGAACTTTCTGTCTCCATTGTTTGTGCTTTGGTCTGCAGCATTGTGGATTCAGACACTCTGCTCCCTTGCAGAAGTGTTACAGTTCAATGTTCAGAGTTTCCTGGGGAATTTTGTAAGCTCTCTTCCATTGCTTTCTTCTTTGTAGGAACATATTTTTGCCTTTCCCCCTTTTTTCTCTTCTTCTCTTGAATGTTTATGTAAAGCACAGCATTGAGTGTTGATCTCTCTGAGCTGGTTGCAAGCAAACTGAAATGTCTAATCAGCAATATGTATGTGAGGTCCCAGAAGGATTATAACTGTGTCAGTGTGATGCTGCATCAGGGCTAATTAGCTCTGCCTCTCAGACTGAGTAATTAGCTCAGGTATCTTGCTCTGCTGCTATGACAACCAGGCTGTTTCCATTTCTGGAGCTCCCTAGATTTAGAGCTGACTTGGGTATCTGCATGGCTGTCAGCTCGTGCCTTCTGTTATTGACAGAAAACAAACAGAAAGCTCCTCGAGCACTCTGACCTTTCTACATTTTCAAGGCAGAGAGCCATGCTTGTGGAATAAATATTTTTTTTCCTAACCAGAAGCAATTAGTGATTGAAACAGCCTCTTGAGCTGTGAAGGAAAACCAGCCACTGAGTCCATAGGAGAAAAGAAGCTTTCTTTTGCACGGGAAAAGAGTCTCGTATAATTGAAGAGGAAACTACTTGACTGCTTTCAAGTGCACAGTGAAATTATTCCCATTCCTTCTCTCCTTTCCATCTCCATCATTAGCCTTTCTTCTCACCTGTTTTCTCCTGGGTAAGCCAGAAACCTGTACATTTTTAAGCAGGTTTTCAGAAGTGGTCGTTGATGAGTAAATATTCCAGCTGTCACCTGTTGGCCTGGATTGCTGGTGCTGTTAAAGGCTTGGTTTTTCTCAGTTGTGGGTAAGCAGAGGTGTGACTCTTTCCCCAGGGCTTAAAGCCAGACTCCTTTGTGGAACTTTTCCTGTGAATCAAACACTTGGGGTTCCACACTGTCTTCCAACTTCATCCTTGAGTGCCTGGTTGTTATTCACCTATTCTAGATCCTCTGCCAAATTCTAATTGAATGGCACAAACTGTGCCAATAAGTGCAGGAGTTCTGAGTTAGCTTGCTAATTTTGGTTTTTATTAATGTTCTATGAACTTAATTAAGGACAAACTAATAGATTTTTGCTTTGCCAAAGGAAATGGAAGGCTAGAACCAGGAAAAAGCAACATAGAGTGGCTGTTGTATGGCCTGGCAAAAGCAGTGAACAAGCAAGCTCTTACTTTGCTGTTGGAAAGAATTCCAAAAGCAAATTAGCCAGGAAATAGTGTTATTTACTCTCATTGATAATATTTTAATAAGGGGTCTAATATGGTAATTGGAGAAATGGTCTAAAAAATTTAGTTGTCCATGGTTTTGTTTTGTGATTGATGGAATTGTTGTTCTGTACAAGTGAATGTTAGGGACCACAAAGAAGACTTTGGTAAATCTAATTCCCTGCATATGGGCCTTTTGCAGGGAGCTGCAGAGTGAGAAATGCTGTTGACTTTGGC